CATATGGGGTGCCTCCCAACAGAGTCCAACTTCTTTCCCATGCAAAAGACTTCTCTGTCAGCTGATCCCATCTTCCCACCCACCAGTTCCAAATTCGCATCGAGGCAGGGCAATCCCACCACACGTGTGGCGTGGACTCGAAAGCCCACTTGCATCGCTGACATGTCATATCCACTTCCATACCATGTTCCACCAGCCAGACAGCAGATGGGGTGGCCAACATAGATAATAGCCACAGGATTGCTGCCTGACGTTGATTAGGAATCAGCTTGAATTGTTTCCAACATTTCCGCAACTGAGATAGGATTTGGTTCAGCTTCAAGGGCAGAATTGCACTCCAGCGTGTTCTCGCTACTATTTGTGGATCTTTTGAAGGAATAATAAGATTGTAGCCCACTCTCTGAGTGTAGTCTAAAAGACAGACTCTGGCCTGATCGGCCCATTGCCCGCCACTCCCACTTCGTCGGATCAAGCTTCAGGGCCTGAACCGGTTTACCATGTGCGAAAACAGCACAGGAAAGAGACCCGTTTTCCTGCATTGATTCAATTACTCTAATCTGGACAAAGCTAGCTCCCATCTCAGGTTGAGTCTGAGGATCATCAGTTTGCAGGACGTCATTTTGTGTCAGATGCCAGCCTTGGAAGGTACGTTTACCATCACTTCGAATATCGATAAGCTTCCACAACTGAGTATTTTCTTTGGACCTTTTTTTTTTTTTTTGGACCATATCTCGATTTATGCGTGTCATCCTTGTGCAAGGGCTTTTCGCACTTTAGTCCTTTGTTTTTCCATTAGCCGCCTTTTCGGAGGGTCGACGGACTTGAGGCACCGTGATTTGTACCGCGATCGAACTGCGCGCGCTTCTGTCGCTTTCACATTTGATGAGTGGCGCGTTGAGGCCCTAGATATATAGATTTTCTAGGTTTTCATTTCGTTAGTGGCATGGCGCGGTAAGGTCCAAGTAAGTGGGCCCAAAGTCAAGATTCGAACTCAGGCCTGTTTTCAGGACTTCATGGGTGTTCACATTGCCTTTGCAGGCGCGCATTGTTTTCTGGGCGCAGCGCCGTCGGCCCAGAAAGCAATTGGCAGGTGGAACAGAGTACGAACTGCGTGCAAACGGGCGTGCAGAAGTGGTCTCTCTCTCTCTCTCTCTCTCTCTCTCTCTCTCTCTCTCTGTCTCTCTCTCTCTTTCTCTGTCTCTCTCTGTCTCTCTCGCGCGCGCTGTGTCTCTCTGTCTCTCTGTCTGTGTACCTGCGGTGTTGTGCCAGAAGATGAGGAGAGTTCTATTCCCACTCGGCCCAAAATGGAAATAGGTGAGTTCGCGCAGCGTGGCGAAGTGCAGCCTCCCTCCCTTCCGCCCTCCCTCCGTACTTCCCTCTCCCTCTCTTTCACCGGTGTTGTGCGTGAAGGGTTGGAGAGTCCCGTTCTCAGTCGGCCCCGAAACGACATAGGCCGGTTCTCTCGGCAGGGTGAAGTGCACCCTCTCTCTCTCTCTCTCTCTCTCTCTCTCTCTCTCTCTCTCTCTCTCTCTCTCTCTCTCTCTCTCTCTCTCTCTCTCTCCCACACACACACACACACACACACACCACCGCCCTCCCCCAATCCCTCCCTCCCTCCCTCCCTCCCTCCGTTCCTCGCGCCCTCTTCCCCACCACCCCCCCTCCAAAATCCCTCCTTTCGCTCTTCCCTTAATCCATCCGTCCATTCGTTTACGTTTGCAACGGTGCTATGTTGCAAGTAGGACAGGATTTGTTCACGGCCGCTATCGGTGGGAGTAGGCGGATGATGACGCGAATGCGGAGAGGCAGGGGGAGAAGGAACACTAGGGGGAGGTCAATTGCCTGGTCAGGCAGGCAGGAGAAGGTCACCATGAAAATCGTGGTGGCGCGAGTAGCAGGAGGAAGACGAGGGGAAGGGTGAGGATGCGGGATCGGGAGGATGAGGGGATCGGGATTTGGTCGGTCAGGTATGCGATGACAGAGGAAGCAGAAGGAGACCCACAAGGATATACGGTGAAGCATGCAAGAGAAGTTCGCCGGCGTTAAGGAGGTTGTGAGGGAGAAGGCGCCAAGGAGGGAACCTAAACCAAGTGGGAGGAGGGTATATGTGGGTCGGGGACCCAATTTGCGAAAAAGGGGATGGGCAGCGCGGATTGGGGGGGGGACGATCAGGATGTGGCATCGAGAGGAGCAGACGATCGGAATGCCAGCCAATCAGGCTGAGGATGTGGGGCCCGATGAAGTGCAGGGGAAAGAGCGCCAAGGCTGCAGGGTAAGGAATGCAGGTCGTGGAGGAGGGATCCGAACAAGGTGGGGAAGAAGGAAGAGAGGCTCAGCGCGGAGAGAGGCGAACAGGTTGTAAGGAAAGGAGAGCGCAGGATAATGACGGAAGGGCCCCTGCCTGAATCACGAGAGGGATAGGGTGAATGTGGATATGGAGGTGATGGAGAGAGAGCAGTGAAGAGAGAAAGAGCGACAGACAGGAAGAGAGGAAAAGGTCATTCGAGATCCGCAGGGGGCATATCGGGTATTAAAGGAGGAGGAGCACGACGAGGATCCCAACGGAGGAGAGATAGGCGTGGAGAAAGACGGGAAGAGAGAGGCGACAGACACAAGACAAGGAGAGAAGAGGATGTGGAAACGTGGATTGCTGGGGGGAAGATCGGGAGGGGGAGTGGAGGGCACAAGTTGAAAGATGGAATTAAACAGGTGGAAGGGAGGCAATGGAGAAGAAAGCAAGGGAAAAATGCGAGCGGGTAGAGAAGAATGAGGGAGGGAGTGAGAAAGGGGGGGGGAGGGGGGAGGAGGGCTGGGGCTTGATCTTATCTCGAAACACATCACATGGGGGCCGCAGGAGAGGTTATTTGACTGTCGTTAATGACCGGGCCAAGAATGAGTGAGTGAGAGAGAAAGGGGGGGGCGGGGGAGGTGGCGCGCGCTGGGGCAATGTCTTGATTTTTTGTCGAAACGTCACACGAGAGGGATGGAGAGGGGAGAATAGCAAGGGAACTGGAAGATTGAGGGGATAAGAGATGGCGTGAGGGACAGGACACAGAGGGATCCCAATGGGATAGCAATCTTCGGGCCTTTGTGGAGGCACGCCCGTCCTTACTCCCAAGTCCCACCCTCTATGATTTTGAAAGTTTAAAAAAAAAAAAAGAAAAAAAAAGATGAGTAATTGGATGACCAAATATTGATTGATTGTATTTTGTGGTGTTACGACTTCCTTTGAGCGCTTCTTCTCTATCATCATGGGCATGTTGCCAGACTGGTTGTGCATCTCTCCTCTTTCATATTTCGCCACGTGGCGGAATGCCACGACCGGTATGCCGTCAGTTGCCGGAATGCCACGACCGGTATGCCGTCAGTTGCCGGAACGCTACGACCGGTATGCCGTCAGTTGCCGGAACGCCACGACCGGTATGGCTTAATTTTGCCGGAATGCCACGACCGGTATGGCTTCAGTTGCCCGAATGCCACGACCGGTACGGCTTCAGTTGCCGGAACGCCACGACCGGTATGGCTTAATTTTGCTGGAATGCGACGACAGGTATGGCTTCAGTTGCCCGAATGCCACGACCGGTATGGCTCCAGTTGCCGGAATGCCACGACCGGTATGGCTTCAGTTTTGAACACCGGGTCACCGCTGCAGGGGTAAAGGCATCTATCTATCTGGCTGTTAAAGCCGAGATCACCGGTTCGATTCCGTTTGGCTGTTTGGCTGCGGAAAGATCATGGGCTAGAAAAAAAAAAAAAAAAAAAAAAAAAAAAGAGATCATGGGCTAGAAAGATATATTCACTGACAACGCCAAATGGTCATGAGCTCTGCGTCGTAATCAAATGCTGCAGAATTGATGATCGTAGCTGGCGGCTTTCTCACAGCAGGACCTTTTTACGTAATTTGTTTGTGGACGTAGTTGCGGTCAGAGACATCCAACTTCGGCCTTAAATATATCTTAAGATAGAGCGACCTGTAGTTGAGTTCACCATGAGCGATTTTTAATCGAAGTCATGATGTTTGTCAATCCCGCAACCAATCCTCTCTCAGTCTACCGTCTTCCCCCGAACACAACGCACCCTTATTTTGGCTGTATATGGCTGGAAATATAGCTTGTATACATTCATTTTTAAGGTGCGTTATGTTCGGGGGAAGACGGTAGCCTTCGTCCGCTCGTCAAGATGATGGATGAATGAATTGATCAAAAAATGGATTTGAATCATTTGATTAAAATCGTTGAGCAGTAAGTGGTCTTCGGGTGAGTGATTTTTTCGGCTTCTGCTCCTTCATTCTGACCACCATGATCGATTTGTAATTTTAATTTCATCAATCGACATGCTACACACATCATCAGATTTTTATCATTTTTTTGTCAAAAAAAAAAAAAAAAAAGATTTTTATCATTTTTATCATTTTTATCACATTTCATAATTTTCATCGTCTTACTGGAAGCAAGCGTTCAATTCTGTTCCACACAGTAGACGCGTCGTTCAAAATATCCCTCCAGCAGTATTCTTCCTTTCCTCTCTCTCTCTCTCTCTCGCACTGCATCTCTCTCTCAGTGCTGTCTCTTATACACATCTAGATGTGTATAAGAGACAGCACACACAGAGAGAGAGAGAGAGAGAGAGAGAGAGAGAGAGAGAGAGAGAGAGAGAGAGAGAGAGAGAGAGAGAGAGAGAGAGAGAGAGAGAGAGGGGAGAAAAAAGGGAGAGAGAGAGAGAGAGAGAGAGAGAGAGAGAGAGAGAGAGAGAGAGAGAGAGAGAGAGAGAGAGAGAGAGAGAGAGAGAGAGATGGTAGATTCAGTAGAGGGGTGGTGGTTTAAGAACTGAGACGACGGTTTCCCCAGTGCTACTTCTTGTGTCTTTGGAAATTTGAACTGTTGCATGAGCAGGTGGGTATCAATTTCATAGTCTCTCTTGTTTGTGTGCATGTGTGTGGGCAGGGGGAGGAGTATCAATTTCACAGTGTCTCCTGTCTGTGTGCATATGTGTGTGCGCAGGCCTATTGTGCGCGACTTGGTCGATGGTGTGATTACTGTGGATGAGGAGGAGATTGTATCAGCCATGAAGATTTGTTACCAGCAGTTGAAAGTCGTAGCTGAGCCAAGTGGTGCTGTCAGCCTGGCCGCGGTCTTGTCTCCTCAATTCACAGCCCCCTCTTCTGCATGGGCAGGAGCAAAAAGAGTGGGGGTGGTTTTGAGTGGTGGAAATGTTGATTTGGAGGTGTTATGGAAATCATTTATACCTCCACATTAATTTTTTCTAAAGTGAAATAATATAGAATAAAATGTGTTAAAAAAAAAAGACTAAAAAAAGACTAAAAAAAGAATAAAATGTGTTAAATAACAATAATAAAATCTGGGTTACGAGGAGCGTCTGGCCGTGTGGCCGCTCGCGGGTACCCTGGGCATGTGAAAAATCACAGGGACTTTTTTTTTTTTTTTTCACTTTTTCTCGCTGGTGGAGATTTTCTGCACCCAACGAAAGCAGCCCGAATCCGGCTCCTTTTTGTTTTTCAGTCTTGTCCGCTTGGGGGGGAAGGAAGGAGGGGGTATAAAAGGGGCTTAAAGGGGTTTAAAGGGGTTTAAGAGGGGTTGCAATAATTTGATTTTTGGTTTTCCTTTGTTATCGTCGATTCAAGAAGGATCTTTGAAGTGACCCTCAGCCAACAGCTCTTTGCATTGGTGAGCACCCATGCCCGGCAAAGCCAAAAGTAGGGTGCTTGAACTCCCACTCTCCCCGGCCATTCATGGCGTGTCTCAAAGGGGTTTAAGGGGGGTTGCCTTAATTTGCAGGCGGGGAAGGAAAGAGGTATAAAAGGGGCTTAAAGGGTACTTGGAACTCCCACTCTCCCCGGCCACGCATGGTGTGTCTCAAAGGGGTTTAACTGGGGTTGCCTTTGCAGAGGGGGGGAAGGAGAGAGGTATAAGAGGGGCTTAAAGGGGGGTTTAAAGGGGAGAACCCATGCCCGGCAAAGCCAAGAGTAGGGTAGTTGAACTCCCACTCTCCCCGGCCACGCATGGTTTGTCTCATAGCTAACGACATGCTGCTGGCATTCACTGGCGATGGCGGCAAACATGCACATCATCCTTGGCGCCCTGCGGACTGTATTCAAGACTTACTGAATGCAATTTCAGCCCTGCAGATTCGAAATCGAGACCTGCTGGATGAAATTTTGGTAGGACGGAGAGAGCGCAAGCTCGCGGGAGTCATTGCCGAGTGTCCCCAAGAACCTCTGAGAGAGAGAGAGAGAGCATGACGCGACGACAATAGTTCTTCTCCGGCGCAGATGTCTGTTGCCAGGGATGGGCGGGCCGAAGAGGAGCAGGTGTAATTAGCGCCTATGTTCCGTGTGTGGTGTGTGTCAATGCAGGGTGTTCCAGAGAACCTGGGAGAGAGAGCATGACTGGACGACAATAATTCTTTGGCGGGGCCGTACTTTTTTGTGGTTTCCTGCTGATAACCTACTTGTCCCAATGTATGGCATTCGCTTAGAAATCTAATCGAAGAAGGACTTCGTACTTCGTACCTTCCGAGGTGTTCCAGCACATAGCGGAGATTACGAGGCTCATATTCGAACCTCAGGATGCTTTTTGGAGTTTATCTGCATTTCTTGTGATTGAGAAATGAGAGATGGAGATGTCCGCTGCCAGGGACGGCGCCAGCCGACGAACAGCAGGCATAATTAGCACCTACGTGGCTTGTGTGGTGTTTTGATCCCAGACCTGATCATTTGGCCTCTGAAAGCTGTAAGGGTGGATACGCCTTTGCAACAACCAGACAACAATATGGGGGAACCTGCACCTAATATGTGCCTTGTCTTGGCCTTTTGCCTGCTGGTGCGTTTCCTTGTGGGATTGCATCCTTACTCAGGGCAGAATACTCCTCCGAAGTACGGGGACTACGAGGCGCAGAGGCATTGGATGGAAATCACTCTTCACACACCCATCAAGGAATGGTACACTAACAGTTCCACCAACGATCTCAGTCATTGGGGCCTCGATTATCCCCCACTGACGGCGTACCAGAGCTGGGTCCATGGTAAAGTGATCGCCTACTTCGATCCTCGAGCCCTTGACCTCGTCTCGTCGCGTGGCTACGAGTCCGCCAAGAGCAAGTTGCTGTTGAGATGGAGTGTGGTTGCATCAGACATTCTGATATTCTTTCCTGCCGTCGTGGCCTTCGTGTCAGTGTACTACAGACATAGGAGCAAGAAGGAGAGGTTGTGGGCCATCGCAATGGCTCTGCTCCAACCAGCGCTCCTGTTGATCGATCACGGGCACTTCCAGTACAACTGTATTAGCTTGGGGTTTTCGGTTATGGCAGCCGCACTTATCGTATGTGGAAGGGAGGTATGGGGTAGTGTGTGTTTCTGCCTTGCCTTGAACCACAAGCAAATGAGTTTGTACTTCGCGCCGGCGTTCTTTGGGCACTTGTTAGGTCGATGCCTAAGTCGCGATCGCCCAGTGTTAGAGGTCATAAAGCTCGGCCTTGCAGTGGTCGGCACATTTGGCATCTGCTGGGCGCCATTCCTGACCTCCAAAGAGCTGTCTTTGCAGGTGTTGTCGAGGCTGGCGCCCTTCTCAAGAGGGCTCTACGAAGACCACGTGGCCAATTTCTGGTGCACCTCCTCTCTCCTCATCAAGTGGAAAACTCTCTTCGTCATCCCGGCTCTTGCTCGACTTTGTGCCATCACCACGATCCTAGCCGTGCTTCCATCTATGCTGCAGCAAATACTCTTTCCCAGCAAACGAGGACTCGTGTACGCGATGCTCAACTCCTCACTAGGGTTTTTCTTCTTCTCCTTCCAAGTGCACGAAAAGTCTATCCTGCTGCCACTGCTGCCGGCCTCTCTCCTTGCTCTCGAGCATCCGGCAATGTTCCGCTGGCTCGCAGCTATGGCGGCATTCAGTATGTACCCCTTGTTGCGCCGAGACGGTCTCAGTCTGGCCTATTTCGCCACACTAACTTTGTTCTTGTCTCTCTCCACCAAGCCAGCCTCGCCTCCTGCATCCTCTGCCTCACCCACCTCCTCCTCATCCACTTCCTCCTCATGGAACTTGTGCTCCTTGAAGTCAAGTCTGAGGAGCTGGAAACTTGTGTTTCATTTTCTTGTTGCGTCGGCAACAAGAGTGGAAGCATGGCTTTCGACACTGTCTGTATGTGGCGCAATTCTTCTGCATCTGAGTGCGGCATGGATTCCAGCTCCGCAAAGATATCCATACATACACCAGGCGCTGATGACAGCGTACGCTTTCTTGCACTTTGTCTTCATCGCCTTGTTCTCTAACTTCGTTCAGTGCCTTGAGCCAGCAGATGATGGCGGTGGCAGACGTGAGTGTGCAGAGAAAGTTGAGCGGGTTGAGCCTCGGTACTCACAGCAACCGGGCAAACAGCAAGCCACGAGCCGGGCAAATCCCCACAAGGGGAAACGAGAGTGAATCCTCTCTTCCCCGTGCATCCCCCATTTTCTTCCGCCTCGTGTTCTCGTCTATTGCTTCTGTCTCCGCCCTCCTTACTTCACATCTCTCTCTTTCTTCTCTGCCTCTTTGACAAGCGCAAAACGTGTGCATCTGTCGTGATAAGAGAAAAAGCCTGTCCTATCCTCTGCGAGACATCGGCCCTCGCTGCATAGCACATGAGAAGAAAAAAAGATCAGTGCATCTGCCTTCTCTCTCTCTCTCTCTCTCTCTCTCTCTCTCTCTCTCTCTCTCTCTCTCTCTCTCTCTCTCTCTCTCTCTCTCTCACACACACACACA